TGAAGATGAAGATGAAGATGAAGATGAAGATGAAGATGAAGATGAAGGTGAATTATAAAGATGAAGATAAAGATAGGTAGACTGTTATGTGATTTCAACGGCTGCTTTTCGCTGGCCGAATCTGATGAACTGACAAAATTTTTTAAAGAAAAATTTTCACTGGAAATGGTTGGTGTATGTAGTACATATGTATGCATACATATATGTACATGGTACACAAAACAAATTCTTCTCAGCTTGTGCTACTAATTTAAGGATTCAACATATTTAATTTATTTATTAAATACCTTAACCTAACACGTGTAGTCCCTACGCACGGAAGAAGTGAAACTTAATACAGGAAATGCCAGAAAGAAAGAAGTGTGCGATATAAGTACATACACAGGTACATATTTCAAAAAAAAAAACATATGTCTTTAAATTTTTTTTTACATATGTATGTACCTACTTGCAGGCATGCAAACATAAAAAATGCAAATGTTCTTGAATTCGAATTCGCACCCCAAATTGTTTAAATCGAAAACATTTTGACCAAACAGCTGCCTTTTGTGAGCTTTTAATGCCAACCAGCGAACTCGCTCGAGCTCGAATTTTCTGGATCCTTTGTCTTCAATAAACAAGCTATGCGCAGAACAATTTCTAGAGAGGAACAAACTTCGGTTATTGTTGCGTGAGAGAAAATGCATGCATGCACATGTCGCACACCGTCTTCAAAAGGGACACAACTCAAAATTACACGTTTGTCAGAAAATGCGAAAAACTATTTCTTAACGCATGATAATCATATCGGCAGGGGGGACTTTACCTTAGGTTTTTTTTTAACAAAGTATAATAAAAATTAGCTCCAGCTTTTGCTAAAAAATAAATAAAAGTACAGTGTAAATTTTTAGAGCATAATTTCAAACAAGCCAAATTTTGAGTTGTGCCTCTTTTGGATACGGTGTGCGATATGTACGTATGTACTGTGTATGCCCATTGTATATACATATGCACAAATATCGCACAACGCATCGAAATATTCTCCGCCAGCCATGGCGCGCCATGAGTATATAAAGACGGGCACTTGCAACCAACGGCATAGTCAACTTTGAAAGTAAGTTCAAGCAAATCAAAGCGTTGAATAAGCGCTCCCAGTAGCTAAAGAAGCTAACGTTACCGCATATTAGATACCATTTGTGAAAACAAAGGAACATCACATCAAATTTAGAATGGCGAACCTACCATTGCTCTTGAGTGTGGCTGACAATTTTAACCATCTGACACCGGTATTCCACAGCCGCTTGCCTGCGATCAACACTTTGCCCAGTGGCCAATTTGGGATATTCGAAAGGGATCTGCCTATTGCCTCGGTGGGAAAAGATGGATTTCAAGCCAGTATGGGTGTGCAGCTGTTTAAGCCAAATGAGCTGAGCGTTAAAGTGGTTGACAACCACATCGTTGTAGAGGGTAAACATGAGGAGCGAGCAGATGACCATGGGTATATATCTCGTCATTTTATGCGTCGCTATACACTGCCTAAAGGCTTCGATGCAGAGCAAGTAGTTTCATCACTATCATCGGATGGCTTGTTAACAGTTAGTGTACCAAAACCTGCCGTAGAAAAGTCCAACGAACGAGTCATCCAAATTCAACAGACTGGACCAGCGCACTTGAACGTGAAGGAGAATCCAAAGGAGAACCCAAAAAAATAAAAACCAAATGTATATTTAGAATAGTTACATATAGCAGCGTCTCGTCGAATTAATACGTCAACTCATACAATTTTTATTAAATATGTATGTAGGTGTAGAAGTTGTTTGATTTTTAAGAGAAAAAGTCTGTAGTTTATATAAGTGTGCAGAAAAAGAATAAATTTTTAACTAAAATCAAAATATGTATGTAGTCGTTTCTCTTTATTGAGCTGGAGTGAGTGTGTTTATGGTGCATTGGAAATAAATTGACAATTATGGGTTATACATACATTGTCGTTCTTAATCGATTTAATCAAAATTTGATTTTAACATACACTAATCTAAACCGCGTATCAAGGAAATGCAAAACCTCGTATGTGAGGTTGCCCAAATTTTATAGGAGGGAGTAAAACCAGAGAACATTTATAAATCAGGTGTCAATTATGTTATTCTTGAGTGAAAAAAATAAAAATCGCAAGATCATCATTATTTTTGAGTGAAAAAATAAAAATTGAAGGATAATCATTATTCTCGATTAAAAAACTTAAAATCAAGGGGTAATCATTATTCTTGAGCGAAAAAATAGAAATCATATTTTAATTATTATTTGTAATTTTTACTAGTAAAACTTGAAAAATAAAAATCATTGTAAATTACGGTAGGACATACAAAAACAGATATGTGAGTATACATAAAATTGCCGTACGACACTTACAACATGTTGATTTATTTAATTTAAATTTAAAAAATAATGATTATTTTCTATCCCTGATAGAAAATGATAGGGAAATTTCATAATTTCCGATCGACACGAGTTCAATGATTAGACCCAATACTTCGAACCATCCTCATCAGCATAAAAAAGCCGCCCTTAGACAGATGATCAATAGAACTGGGCGAATACCACTAACAAAAGAGGGATGCCGGCTAATAACGGATACAAGAGAGATCTGGTAGAAGAAATCTGAAGGGAGCACAAAAACAAAAAGCCAAACAAAGCAGAAAACAATAATAAAAATTGGGCGGTATTAACCTATACTGGAAAGTCAACGTACAAGCTAACAAAGCTGTTCCAGAAACACAACCTTCGCACATCATTCAGAACAAATAACAATGTAGGACGGATACTACGGAACACGACAAATCAAGAAGACCCATTGGATAAACAAGGAGTGTATAAACTAGTATACTCTGTTTTTCGATAAATCGACTTACCGTTGATTTAGTAACCCTCAAACAGATAGTTTCGAAATTTTCTGTAAACGAAAAATGTGTAGCTTGATTTATGTGCCACTTTCAAATGCGTGTATCTCATCATCTATTTGCCGCTTTTCAAAAGTGAAAACTAGAAAGAAAGAGTGACGGTTAGTAGAATATTCACCGATTAAAACTTGTATTATAGCTTAAAGCTTGTGTCAAAGAGACGTCCGCATTTAAGTGACTTTAAAGTGAAATTGTACAATTTAAAAAAAATGTATTTAGTGTTTTAAAAAAATGTTTAAAAACGTTTAAGAAAACTCATCACAAATCGGTAGAATAATCCCCGATCTCTTATTTTCCCATAATCTTATGCTGCGATTTTGTGCGAGATCAAAGAAATTATAATTTTTCTTAGGTAACTACTTGGTAGAAAATCATGAGTTTTATGAAATAACTCACGGTGTTATAATTTCAAAATTGGGAAAAAACCTATCAGATAACAAGTAGAAAGTTTTAAACTTAAGGTCAGTGGAGGATTCGAGTCGATATTTAAAATAGAACGTACGACGCATCTGTTTATTGGGTTGGGGTCCACTGGAACCCGTGTGACCATTACGTTATTATTTGGAGGTGTGACCATTACGGGTTAATTTTTGCGCGGCAAGGCCACTACTTCTAGTCCTACTACTGGGCCAAGTTTTAAATTGATATCTCAACTTTTAGAATTTTGGCCACAAAATAGGGTAAAATTTCCCATAGCGCAAGGGCTGCACTTCTAAAAGAACTTTCGAATTTTTGCGATAAATTTGAATTCTACCCTCTCACATTTTAATGCTGGCCATCTGGCAATTTTTGGTAAGGTCCATAAATCTTTTTGATACTCCGGCAAAAAAAAAATGTCGCGTTCTTTTTACCAGACCCTCCTACCGACATGTACCGTCATATATTTCGACGTACAGTAAATTATGAAAAACCGAAAAAAGAGCAAAAAAATTAGCAATTTTCGCAATTTACTCGAAATTTTGTACGAGCCAAATGGACGGTTAAAAGCATCCGCCACTTTTTTTGTGTGCCGGTGCTATTATTCCGTGAGTCGCGGGTTCAAGTATCGGCACATTCCGAACGAAAAATTACACTGAAAATGGCACAACGCCGAAACCGGTTTGTCTCCAAACCAAATTTGACAAGGGATGATGGAAAATCATTCCACATTACATCATACTCCTACCCTGCCGGAAACACCAAGAACGAAAATGAGAATAACGGCACATGCAGTAATTAATTGATAGAAAAATATTTTCTAATAAAAAAAAATTATAATTGTCAATAGCATTTTCAATCTTGATAATTTATCAAGAAAATAGATTTAAACTTCTGTACTAGAACTGGGAGCTCTTGATAAATAATCAAAAATTGACAAATTATAAAAATATTGAATTTATTAAGTGCACAGTATCGGGCTGTAAGTGAAGAAGGGAAGATTTTGGTAGTGAAGATTTGGTAAATTTTGGTAACTTTTCTTAAGAGATTTTGGTAGAAAAAAATGTTGGCGAGTGTGGCATGGACAACAATCACCGACTTTTACCTATCTGCAGGTAAAAGACCATACAGCGACAACATACCGGATGCTAATATCGGGACAGCGAAAGATGAAAAACTGGTATCTGAACAATCAGTGGTATAGGAGATAAAGCTTATACAGCATAGATTTCGACAATTTTCTCAGTAGACTTTGTATTATTATTTATACAAGTGGAGACTTTCATATAAATGCACGTATTCATAATCAGCTGTCGAAGCGATGCTAACGCCAACGCAACGCCAAAGTTGTATGCAAACGGGCCCTAAAGCTTGAGTGGAAACAAGCTGAATAAAAAGCTGTAAAAAGAAATAAATTATATCAATCAAAATTGTCTCGGCAACCACAATAATGCAGTTGCCAATATAGCAACTCAGCTGCCAGCTTTCAGTTGCCATCTGTAATACCATTTCAGCCACTGGCCACCCAACTGAAGTTCGGTTGCCATAAGGCTAAATCGGTTCAGCTCGATGTTCTAATTATGTATATATGTAAATAGGTATGCATTTTCATTACATTACATTTTTTTGTTACATTTTCTATATCTTCTTTTTTTTATCGGAAAGGTGGTACCTGTTGTGGTTTTGTTTTTTGTTTAAAAATTACTTGTTTAAGTTCTATAAACACAAGATGTGCTCAACTTTCAAAAGTAATAAACAGTTGCAAAAAAGAGTTTTAATGTTCATTTTCCTTGGTTTCTGGTTTTCGATGGAGATGCTGATTTTTCACGATTGCCTAATTTTTTTTTAATATTTCGAATACCGAAAAATTAACTGAACTTGTTTTTTATTATGTAGCTCATTTTGGAGGAACGAATTCGAAGTTAGCAAATTAAATCTTCGAATCCTTATTAAATACATATCAGTGGTAAACTCTTTTAGGCTGTAAAGTATAAAAACAACAGTAAGTGAGTTTTAGGACAATATTTTCATTCGCAGTTAAACTTTAAAGAGCTCTCAAGAAAATCGAAAAATTCATATAAAATTACGCACAAGAAATGGATAATAAATTTCTTGGTGTCAAAATTTTTTAAATCAGTTTGCAGCTCTTAAAAAAAATGCTCGTATGTATGTGTATTTATATCTTAAAGAAAATTTACAGCAAAAGCAGCGTGATTTTTCAAGCAACAAAGATATTAAAAAATATTTCTTGTGATTTTTTCTCGAGAGCTGGATTCTAAGCTTTAATAAGCAGTTTGTATTTGAGGTTATCAGCTTTGGGTTGGGTTTGAACCTCAAAACCCGGATTAACGACTCAAAAAATATCAGTAAGCTGCACAAAAAGTTATTTGCGTCCAAAAGTGATCGGTATAAGGCGAAGGAGGAATTCCGTATGTGTAGCGGCCCTCTGAAACATCGAAAATGTATCAAAATTAAACTTAAAAATATTTAATACAAGATATCAGACACAAATAAACAAAAAATAGTACAAAGCATTAGCCATATCTTTAGTTTTAACTTCGTTAAGGTAACTTCTACTATTATTTTGAACAGCTCAATTTAGTACTATTGTTTTGTTTAAGCCCTAGTGTATAAACAAAACCAATATTTTAGTATATGCAACTTTATTTATTCTGGAAATATCTAGAATATACCTTTTTAGCCTTTTCATATCATCTTTTTTTTTGTGTAACACTTGAGATTCTTGTTTGATTGGAATGATCCAGCTGCACTATTATTTGTTTCAACATACATACCTGTATGTTCCAGCAAAACAAACAAATTCACAGAACATTCGGAAAATTCGTTTATTAGCTATATGAGAAATGTGTTTTCTAAAATATTTCATTATAATGAAATCTATAGCTTAAACCTACTTTGGTACATTTTTCGCATATTAATACACGTTTTGGTAAACAAAAAATGAAGAAGTGGCAACTGTATATGTATGTATATACGCATATATTCTCTTTAAGAAGCACTCGAATGTGTACGTCGCTGAATGTTGAGAGTGGATAAGAGATATGAAGGTTTTTTCTGCTAACACCAGGGATGGAATTTAAAAAATTTCAAAATGCGCCTAATAGCCTTCAAAAAGTGCCGCAAAGATGATGCAAGTGCCACAAAATTAAATTTCTATTAATACCTTTTAAGAACAATACATTTTTAGAAAAATTATTTTTAAAATACTCTAAAGTAATGTAATAAATATTAATTAACTAAATTATCACTTTTATGAAGGCTTCCTTAGACATATACAACGAATTATAGCTACTCGGACATTTTTACACACTTATGAATGTACATACATATATGCGAATGCATTAAAAAAACAGTTAAAAAACTGTCTCTTTAAACAAGACGAGCTTAACCCTAATAGGTGTAGCCCAGGACTGAGTACAACCGACTGGAACGAACGTGCCGGCGTCCGAGAATGAAATTGATGACCTCTGCTCAAAAGTAAACGACTATCTCTCCAGCCTTTCTCGCTTCTTCACTGCAAGGAGCCTAACACTCTCCCCAACGAAATCAACGGCGACCCTCTTCACCACCTGGACGAAGGAGGTCAGGCTAGAATTAGGTATACACGTCGATGGCACACAAATACCGACTGTAAACAACCCGAATATTTTAGGAGTCACCTTCGATAGCCTGCTCTCCTACTCCACGCACACAACCGCAGTTGTCAGTAAGGTACAGAGCCGCAACAAGGTCCTCAAGTCGCCCGCCGGCAGCACTTGGGGCAAAGACAAAGAAACGTTGCTGGCAACATACAAGGCAATTGGACGCCGGGGACTAGTTGGACGCAGTGGACGAAGCTACAGACTTGTCAGAACACCGCACTCCGGACAGCGACTGGGTGCCTTCTGATGGCGCCTGAGCACCACCTACGCAGCGAGGCCCAAGTGCTCCCCGTAAGGGAACACAACAAAATGCTTTGTAAGCAATTTCTGGTGGGGTGCCACAGAAGCGAGCACCCAAACAGACCTCTGCTTCAGGAGGAGCCTCCGCCCAGGCACGTCAGGGGGCACTTATTCGTATACAAGGACGCAGTCCAGCAATACGTAGACCAACCACTGGACCCGACGACATACAGACGAGCCATTAATGAC